CATCCTTCCATCCTGATCGAGCCAGACACCGAGATACTTGTACTCATCACACTCTTCGATGCGCCGTCCATCCTCAAGCTCTATGCTTTGCCGTTGATGCGCTGCTCCCACGACCAGCTTCTCTGTCTTGGACACACTAACGTCCATGCCCCATTTCCGATATTCTTCGACCAACTTCCGCGTCATGTAATCTGCATCTTCCTCATCTTGAGCTACAACGATCTGGTCATCGGCAAAGCATAGAGTATAAAGGGTCTGCCCATCAAGGAGTGGAACGCCCATTCCTGCAACCTTCTTTTTCCATTCCTCTAACACGTGCTCTAGGTATACCTTAAATAGTGATTAAATGATATCTTTTAGAATAAGAGAGCTTACGACCCACAGTGGAACGAACCATTGAAAGAAGTTAGTTTTGGGACTAAAATTAAACACTTCCCGTCACCTTTATATATTTTAAGGGATGACTTTCAAAGCAATGTTTACGAGAAAACTTTAAAACTCCATTTTTAAACTTCTAAATTTTGTATTGACAAAGATATACACTTTTTGAAGTTTCCATTTCATGACCGATCTTCCCCGTTGAAGGAGCATCAACAGTGTCTATTTCCTACTCACCTTCATATAATAATTGATCATATCCAAAGCTATCATGGCACGGCGATGGTCAGAGCACGTTGACCGAACAGATGAAGAGAGACTAGCGAAAATGTGTATGACCGGACAACACTTAATGAAAAGATTATCTGGACTGCAGCTTAAGAGATGGGCACAAAGCTGGCTACCTTCTCCTGAAGATGTTTGGATATTTTATTGCTGTTTTTTACTGATTTAACGAATCCTTTATTTTTAACGATTTCCGGATTTTATAGTGTTTAAATGTTTTGAAGTGCTAGATACTAGATGACTTGATAAACAAGGCTATGCAATACTCGTTCGTGGAAAAAAGAAGAAGAAGAAAGATAGCATGTAACGGCAGTACAATGGTAGAATATGTCATCCAGCGCGCAAAACCAAAACGCCTTCAATTCTCTAGATACGACGAAGCCATTCACTGAGCAGGAATAGTTGCTTGCAAGCGCCTGAGATCAAAGTTGCGCCACACAGCCGTACCGCGCCAGTGCGAGCCTCACTCATTGAGTTTTTAAGCTTGTGTCGGATGAAAAAACACAGACTAGATATTTATAGATAGGTTTTCTCGTGAAATTGTTGTGGTGGGATAATTACCATGGATAATTTAACAAGAAATACAATTAAACCACTTTAAAACTTCTACGTTCCAAATATATAAAATTGAAAAGTTTCCTTACAGTATCCGACCGTTTCCATTGAATAACTACCCTGAGCAGCGCGAATGTGTCATTTTCCAGGAGTGTAACTATATGTCAAACGTTGTAAAATTTCACTCTCAATTTGAACTTCTACGGGAAAACTATGGGGGATAAAAAAAAATACCAGCACCAAGTGAAAAATATCACCCGGTGCTGGAAATGATATCATATAAATGGAATGGTAATTACTTAAGCGAGTTAATATTTCCAAGTTTTTCATACGTATGCTCATATGTCCTTTTGTTCTCGTCTAGTCCGATTAGTTTCCTGAACTTTTACAATATTGATCAAAAACGACCTATACGACGAGCGTGCGCATATTCTTTTTTTCCGGGAACCCTCAAAATTGAAACTTTGAAGCTTCTAATCTAAAACAGAATCGTGGGTGAAGCTTTTCCGTTCATTCATGCTTGCAGCAGGGGGGCTGTTTTGATTAAAGTCGTAAACGAGAACAAGGGAGGGGAAGGATGCTCTCACATTGTATACTATCCCCAATTCTGTATACCTAAAAAGAAATCATACCTATGACGTTATCATCGTATTCGACCATAAAGGCCTCAATCATTTGGCTTTCGAAGTATGTCGGACGCGCAGATAGTAAATATTGTAAATGCAAGCAATACATAAAACCAGCCCGAAGTAATGGGCCTCCAGACAAGGTATAAATTGAGGCAATACGCAAAATATCGAAGGAACAGTGAAACTTTAAAAGTGCGTATCGCGTATTGCAATGTCCCAAATCTCCGCCCTTATTTCAATTTTCATAAAGAGACCAAAACAACATTATGTCTTGAATTTTATAGAATATTCTTCTATTCATTGGCGGATCTAGCAATCTGGCAACACCGGATTTCCTCCATTTAAACCTACGGAAATGTATCGATTCTTGGAGGGGCCAGGTGCTCTGACAAGAATCGATTATTTAGCATAGGTTTAAATGGAGGAAATTCGGTGTTGCAAAATTGCTGGATCCGCCTCTGCTTCTATTGCTGAAGAAAAATCAACAAAATATTCAAGAGATGACGATGAGTAGTTTTCCATGTAAAAAATAAAGTATGACAGGAAAATTGCGACGCCGAAAACGTTTAGTTCCGTTCGAATTTGGGACAAAAATTTTTGCCAATGATCTTTCAGAAAAAAGCTTTTGCTTCAAAATCCGTGATCCGAAATTAATTGATGCAAGCATTGCAAGCTAGTGGCGTGGCATGAAAAATAGATGATCGATGTTCCTCCATTTGAAGCTATGGTGAACAATCGATCATTGAAGTGTACACTGTTCATCGATCCTTTTCCATAGGTTTGAATGATAAATCCATCGATATATTGCAAAGCACGCCACGCCACTGATTAGGACCATCTCGCACGACACAAACACAAACAAAAAAAAAAAAATAAAAAATAAACATTTTTTGACAGTTGAAATAGTCAACTCTATAGAATCCTCGCTCGTTGTTGACTTTCATCCGTGATATGGATATTTAATCAAAAGTAAAAATAAGTAGTGAAGTTGAAAATTGATTCGGTTAGAGATCGAGAACTCATTTTTTGATGATTCGGTTGATGGCCAGAGACTAAATTTCGCGAACCTTGGCAACTATGGCGGGACAAGTTCGCTTAATCTAACCACCTCACGAAAATAAATAAATAAACATCGGGGTGATAACTCTCGACGCAATTATTAAAGTCGCTCAGTCGTCCCCTGGCCAGTAAACGAAGTCTCAAAAACTTGTTAAGATCATGAGTTCCTTGAACACCGACGAAAATCGAGATAAACCTTGGTTGGTTCAGAAACCAGTATGAAATGTGGATATGCAGGCCAAGAATCCAACAATATATATTTTATCTCACTATTTCAACGCCAGGTTTCAAGTTTCGTCCATACGAATAAATGTAAGATAGCAGTGGCGTGGCGTGCTTTGCAAAACATCGATTGATCTGCCATTTAAATCTATGGAAAAGGATCGATTATCAAGGTGTTCGCAACGAACACCTTTATAATCGATTCTTTACTACAGTTCCAAATGGAGAAATATCGATAATCGATCATTTACGCCACACCAATGTAAGACAATCGATACCACGTCGACATAGGCTACTATCAGTTGGCTCATAAATACTTCAGTTGAGGAGCTTGGAGGACAAGGAGCGCATAAGTAGTTTTTGAAAAATCGAGATACTAGTAGATTCTATTAAAACTAGTCTTAATACGTATTCTATGTATAAAAAATCCGCACACAAATTCGAATTTTTAAGCATCAAAAAATCAGTCTAACCTTTCTTTTTACCACAAGGAGCCATATAATTTCGAAACTTCTAACACGTATTTCTCGGAATAGCAAAAACTGCTCTCATGCGCCTTGTCCTCCGAGCCCCTCGGTTTGAATTTCCTACCAGTAATATTTCCAGATTTACCTGCACAGCACACAGTGCGACGCTATCTCTGCGTTTTAACTGCCTATAAAATTGATTGAGCTCACCCACTGCGTTGCTAAACCTCGTGTGCCGCCGCCTCCTTTAATAATTTCACCCTCCTCGCCATATTTCATCGGGAAGCCAAAAATTGCAAGGCCCGTTGGACGTTTCGTCCCTATCCAGGAAAATGTTCAATGAATGAGCACGCTAAAAGACCAAGGACTCTGCTGGAATGCCGGCACAGTCAAAAATTGCCTACATGCCTATACTGCCGTGCTAGGGAAAAACGCCGTATGAACATTTAAGGGTTGCCAAATCTCCAACGATAAAATTTTTATTTTTGAGGAAAGTTATGAATATCTTTCCTTGAAATTTTCAGGACTTTTCGGTGGAAATGCGAGCAAAATTATCTGAAAAATCGGAAGGAAAATATTTAAAGGTTTACCTGGAAATTTGTGTCTTATCAAAGGAAATTTGGCAACGCCTGAAGGTTCATACGGCGTTTTTCCCTAACACGGCAGTATAATGGCCTAAAAGTGGCTCTCCGTGTTCTTAGTCAACGTATTTTTATCTAATTGTAAAACGTGTTCTAGTGTGAGTATCATCGTTATTCACAATATTTGTTTAAATTGAGAGCTTCAGACAAACCAGTCTCATCTTCATAGAGAGATTTGAACAAACTTCTATATACGTGCAATAGAGCAGGACATGAAATGGACTGCATTTTGCAATTCGGAACAATAGATTCTGGCTCTTCTGGAAAAACACTTATGTGCATAGGGAAACTAATGGCACATGCGTTTCTTTTTAAACCGGGCCAGAATTTACAGTTCCAAATTGCAAAATGTATTCCAAATATGGACTACACTCTGAAATACCATCCATGATCCGTACCATCTCTAGTTCAACCATGAAAGTATATATTTGCATGGGGCGAACTAATGGCACATATGTTCAGTAATGTTCCTTTTGAAACCTGTTGAATGAGTAATTGAACCTCATTTATAAAGGTTTAAAGTGTAAATATAACTGGTTCCTTTGATACCATGTAAATATTTGTTTGATCAATTTTCGCAGCCAGGCTTGACTTCAATCTCTCAGGTCAAAATTATGCATGTTTGGGCAAAACCATAACGCTTCCTCTGAAACTTACCATCAATTACCGCGAGGGTGACTAAAATCCTGAACTTATCGCTTATACAAAACAAAAATGCAAATATTTCCTAGCATGACTCATGTTTTGTTTCTTGTCTGTTTTAGGGCGAGCTTTCAACTCCACCAGCACATCAGTGGTTAACTTCCCACACCTGATTCATTTCCAATCTCTAAGGTAAAATTGCAAATCCAAAGTTTATAGCATGCAATAAGTACGTAAATGCGCAGGAAAATTGAAGGAATGAAGTGTATGGGGACTTGGAGACCGAATTTTAGACCAAGTGACATAATTTTTGACCTTTGTACAATTTGCAGAGTTTTAAAGTTTTAAAAATAAATAAGTACATATCCTTTAGGTCACAACGTGTCCTAATATTTGGGAGGGAGGGGGATTTGTCGGAGATTTTGAATGTTTTGCCTCTGTGCAGTAGGATACTGCACAGATGCTGGAAGGAACGACGCCTCAAACGAAAAGTTCAACTGTACCGTAGTATCGTTTTTGAAGCGGGAAACTAAAAAAAAACGCAAATTTCTTGCGCTGATTGTGAAGTTAGGAATGCATTTCAGACTTTACTGATGCGCTCATCGTGATTTTTGAACCATTTTCTAACACAAACTACTCTTATTCTCGCTCTAGCGAATGTTTGCAGCAGGCCCATTCTATCAATGCTGCCCTTTTAAGCCCCCACATTAAATTCCTGAAGTAAGTGTAGGGAAGGGGGCTTTAGCCCCCAAGACCCTCGCCCACGGTATGTCACCTCGTAATTTCAAGCAAGATTTACCTCGAATACCCGCACTTTTAGGTCGCAAATGGTCTTTGCACAATTTGACAATCTTCCATCGCCGAAGTCATCCATGAATATAGCTCCTCGGTGGTGGAAGGAGGGAAGGTTATCTGCTCTGATCAAGAGTTCAGAGGGAGGGGGAGGATGGTCGCAGATGAACCGTGAAGCGAAAGAACATAATGTAAGGAACGTGTTTTTCAGTGGATTGTCACCAATTACTTTACGTCCATCATCGGTGCGCTTACAACCTACATGCATGAGCTTCACCCTCCCCTCCCCTCCACCTCCTTATTTCGGATGAAAAATGATGTTCGATATTCAAACGACCCTTTTTGTCGTGATCCGCCGTCGACTATGGCGCTCGTGGCGGAGAAACGAGGCGTTCCGAAAACGTACCACATATTTGAGAAGTCCCGTAAGTAGGATTTATGATTTTTAAAGCCTCTAAGGATTGAAATGAAATAACCAAACGTGGAGGGAAACGACGTGCTTTAAATAGGTGAAATGTTTCGTATTATCTCTCTAGACTACATCCCTAAATAACCTGACTCCTTCGATGAAATTTTTGAGACCACAATGGACACAGAAATGAATGTTTTAAGCTGCCAACGAAAACTGCTCTTCTTCACTCATTGCAGTGAACCCTCTAACGACGTGATAAAATGAGGGCCCAACGGGCTGATCTTTGAAATCGATTGACAAAGCAATAAGCAAAGAATACAAACGGGGTACGGAGCGATCCTACTGGTTAAAATGGTTGGCTCCTTTAGAACATGATAGACTAACTTCAGGGTCTCTCGTGGGTTACCGTTCGTTGATCTATTATTCACCCTCTTTTTCCATTGCAACCAACCGCTTTTACCAATTAGATCCCTCCATATCACTTGTGTCTTCTTTGTATATAGCTTTGTCTATCTATTTCAACAATCAGCCTGCAGAGCTAATTGGAAAATTTTCCGCACTGGCTACATCAGTACGTTTTATTTTGTTGATTTTTAAGGTCTCTATACTTTTAAAAGCCTTTCTGAGTCCAGGAATTGTTTTTAGACAACCATTAAGCCATCATCGCGCTCGGCAGTCTTGAAGCCAAAAAAAAAAAAAAATGCGACAAAAATTTACCCAAAAATGGTTTGCAGGGGGTGAGTACATGCTGCATGTGTACTTAAAATCGCGAAAAATCAAAATCTTGGCTGATCCTAATTTCGAGATACCTAAATTTGAAATTTTCGTAGTGAATGCAAGTTTTTTACTGATTGTGATCAGTTTTTTTATTTATTTGTCCTTGGAACCTATATTGATCGGTTCACGTTTTTACTCTTCTTTCGATTCCTTTCGATCGAATACACACCCTTTCGTTAAATGCAGACTTCTTATTATACCCTTTTTTTAACTGAATTAATTCAATGAATTAATTCAATTAATTCAATTTTTTAACTGAATCAATTCGCGCCTTCTGCTGCGTCTGCAGCAATTTTTGCTACGAATATGTTGTGCGTACTGATTATAGCTAATTACATAATCGACTCTTTGAAGGCGTTTTTTGTGTACGAGCAGCGCAATCTGTAGGAAAACGGACGAAGTAGTGATTAATCGATTCGTTCAATCTAACTTCTGTCATTCTCCAACAGGGTGCTCTACTTTCACACATTAAACGCCTTCGAAGAGTCAAGTATGTAAGGAGCTGAGATCAGCACGCACAACATACTCGTAACAACAATTGCTGCAGGCGCAGCAGAAGGCGAATTGTTCAGTTAAAAAAGTCTGCATGTAACGAAAGGGTATGTATTCGATTGAAAGGAATCGAGCGAAGAATAAAAATGTGAACCGATTAACACAGATTCCAAGGACAAATGAATAAAAAGAAACTGATCAAAATCAGTAGAAAACTTGCATTCACTTTGAAAGTTTCAAATTAAGATATCTCGAAACTAGGATCGGCCAAGATTTTGGTTTTCCGCAATTTTAAGTTTACACGTTCCATAGACTCACCCCTGCAAACCGTTTTTGGGCACATTTTTTTATTACTGCACACATGTTTTTGTTTCTTCTTTTTTTTAAAAGAAAACAAAAAGTTGCACAATTTTTGAAACACTGTGATCGCGCTGGTTCCTTTTTGCTAAATGCTATCCAATTAGGGAACAACTACGATACGGATTTTTGGATTTTGGTAACGGCGGATATTGGCGGCTTAGCGAATAAAACAATATCCTCGCTCCTGTTACAAAAGGGCGCAGTTCCATATTTTACTTGAGCCCTAAAAAGCACAGATCCACGCGGGAAAAAAGGCTCATCTCATAAAAAAGGGCGCCCTAACGCCGCGCCGCGGCGGAATAACGACGATGCGGTGGAGTTGAAGGGGCTGCGCTGCCCCGACCTGTTGCAACTGATGCTCAACTGCTTAGTCATCGAGTTCGGGCTCAGTCCGAAATCGTTAACATTATAACAAGTTGATGACGGGGTTAGCCCCCGCCCCCTCTCCTCCCTCTCTTCACTATCGACACAGTGTCGTTGTGAAGGTGTGTGCGTGTGTGGGAGGCAGTGTCGTTTTCATGCACGAGCTCCCACACTCCACTCGGTTGCCGAATTTTAAACTGGGAACTATGTGCAAGTATCATGACGTAATGTAGAAAGGCAGGATATTAACAATATGATTAAAATGAAGTGTAGAGAGAGGGTGTTTGAGTAAGGAAATAATTAAGGCGCGACGGTGTAGGTATATTTCTCCATTAAAACTTATTCACTACACCCACTAGAGGATGAAGAACCACGTTTTTTTACAACTTGGTTATCAAAATAACGCGAATGTAAACAAGTGGAAACTTCCCCTCCCATTGGTTTCGGCCGAGTCCGTGTTGCGCTCGGCAAAATATACAAAGAGGCACGATACTTTTCAAATTAGCAGAGCTACTCCGGCCCAAACTAGAAAATTTAAATCAAATCGGTGGAAGAAAATCCCCAGAATGATGCGTGTAAGTTTAATTTGTCCTCGCACGCGTCTATATAATTTGCAGTAGCAAAGCATACCACTATTTTAACTTCATGGATATGCGTGAAGTATTCTACAAGATGAAGGCACTTCAAGGATTGACGCAAATTTGTGCTTTTAATCTCATTTTGACTCGTAGTTGGTTCTACTTTTTGAGATCCTCGACTATGTTCCGCCACTACTACATACAGAGGTCAAGAGAGATGTTCTTACACGTATGTAGTAATTTCAATGGACCGTTTAGAAATAATTCAGCACAAAATTAAATGCCTGTCAATTAACATTTTATGCTAACACTATTATCACTGCTATACTGCTACCTCTATTACCACTCTTTCTGCCCATTCTTCGACTACTACTCTTACTACTATTACTATCGCTCTCAAAAGAACAACAAGATAAATATAGTGAATTTACTGTAGAATTCGGCAACCTGCATTGGCGATCCATTAATCATAGAGCGCGAGACGGAAAAACTGCGGCTCACGCCCGTCAGAATGCGCTGATAGTCGCCCATTTGAGATTTCAATAAAATTGCCCTATAGCTCTCGCTGATAAGCCTAACTTCACGATCCTGCGATCTTGCAACGACTGTCACTTGCTGAAATTCTCAATTTTCCTTCACCTCGTCCACAAATGACCTGGCAAAACAACCTGGAATTTGCGAATCTTCATTTCTTACATGCAAAAACATCTTAAACTGACTAAACTACCCAAAGCTTCTATATCTCAAGGTTGGTTTAACCTGTAAATAAGTTCATGTCGACCTCTTAAAATTGAGATGATATCAACCGTAGATTAAGTCGAATAACGCACATTAGGATCTTGAAAATGGGAAAAATTTTGGAATGTTTAACACAACAATCGACTGCCAAATCGAGTAGTATGCATTCTCTATAGTAATTTATAAGGTAGCTCCTTTTTTATTTCTTAAGCGGTTTGAGGTGAAACACCCATACTTTTTTATCTTACTAGCTAAGATTAATTCGTTTAAACTCATATCAAGTTGTGTATGTTTTCATTCCCTTCAAATCTCTTCATGAAACCAGTTTTAATTCTAAACTGTGTAAAGGTTTATCATAGAGAAAAACAACTGAGGGCTTGGAGGACAAGGCGCATTTTTTTAAAAAACATTTGAGATATTAATTACATCAAATAAAACTTGTCTTAATGCATACTCTGTGAAAAATTCGCTCCCAAATTCCAATTTTTAAGCGTCAAAAACTCAGTTTGAACTTTCTTTCCGCCATAAGAATCCGTGTAATTTCGAAACTTCAAATACGTATTTCTCGAAATAGCAGAAACTGCACTTATGCGCCTTGTCCTTTCTTTCTCAATCCTCAGTTGGAAGACACAAGAACTCAACGCTGTGAAAGCTTTTTCCATTCCCTCATCCAGCTTATC